AAAAGAATGGCAATGGATGAGGAGGCTGAGATGAAGGCTATGGATGAGGTACATAGGGAGATGAATGCACAACTGCTCTAATTTGATGAATAGCTGCAAGAATGGAAATTAACATGGTCTCAGGTGACAAGTGTACGAGAAGAAGAGAAGATTGAGGATTACTAGACTTAATGTTAGTTGGAAACAAAGAATAAGGATTAGTAATTGGAAAATATGGCTTTGATGATAGAAATAATCTGGAGATAGCATGATAGAATTTTATAAGACCAATGACTTTTTCATCTTAAATATGCTTTTTAAACATAATAAAAGGCAGTTATACATATGTACCTCACAAGATGGCATACACATATATCAAACTGACTACATCTCAGAAAGAGATGGTGAAAAAATGCCCTATCATCAGCCAAAACAAGGTCAGAAGCAGACTGTGAAACAGACTACTAATTGCTCAAATGCAAGTTCAGGCTAAAGCTGAAGAAATTAAAACAAGTCCGCAAGAGCCAAGATATGATCTTGTACATATCCCACCTGAATTTAGAGATCATCTCAAGAACAGATTTGATGCATGGGACACTAAAGACCAAGTACCAGAAGAGTTGTAGGATGTCATCAAGTCTGCAAGAGCCAAAATATGATCTTGCACATATCCCACCTAAATTTAGAGATCATCTCAAGAACAGATTTGATGCATGGGACACTGAAGACCAAGTACCAGAAGAGTTGTAGGATGTCATCAAAAACAACATATAGGAAGAAAGTAAAATGCCATTAAGAAGAATGAAGGAAAAGACCAAAATGGGTATCAGAAGAGACTGTGAAACTTGCTCTCCAGTGTAGAGATGCTAAAGCAAATGGAAGAAATGAGGAGGTAAAAAGAGCTGAAGAGAAAATTTCAAAGGCAGCTTGAGAAGACAAAGTCAAATATTGTAACAAAATATGCAAAATCCTCGAGTTAGAAAATCAAAAGGAAAAAGCACACGCAGCATTCCTCAAACTGAAGGAACTGGAGAAAAAATTCAAGACTCAACTTGAAATATTGAAGGATTCTATGGGCAAAATATTGAATGAAGCAGAAAGCATCAAAAGAAGATGGAAGGAATACAATCACTGTACCAGAAAGAGATGGTCAATGTTCAACTACTTCCAAGAAGTAGCATATGATCAAGAGCCAAGGATACTGAAAGAAGTCTAAGGTGCACTGAAGGCACTGACAAAGAACAAGGTACCGGGAATTGATGGAAAGAGAATTGAAATCTTTCAACAAAATGTAGTACTATTCTATGCCAAGAAATGTGGAAGACAGCTACCTGGCCAAGTGATTGGAAGATATCCGTATTTGTGCCCATTCCCGAGAGGTGGCCCAACGGAATGTGGAAGTCATCAGTAATGTCGTTAATACTGCACCCAAGTAAAATTTTGTTAAAAATGATTCAAAAACAGCTGCACATGGAACCAGGGATATCATTGCTGATGTCAGATGAATCTTGGCCCAAAGCAAAGACCATCAGAAAGATGTTTGTTTACCTGTGCTTTATTGACTATGGAAAGGCTCCTGATTGTGTGGACAGCACTGCAGAAAATGATTATTATTCTGGAACGCTTAATTGTGTTCTTGAGGAACCTGTATATAGACTAAGAGGCAGTTGTTCAAACAGAATAAGGGAATGGTGAATGGTTTAAAATTATGAAAGGTGTGCACCAGGGTTGTATTCTTTCACGACACATATTCATTCTATTTGCTAAACAATCAGAAGCTGGATATTATTAAGAAAAATATGGCATCGGGATTGGAGGAAGGCTCACAACAACCTGTGATATAGCAGATGATATATAACTTTGCTTGCTGGAAGTGAAGAGGACTTAAATACTTCCTGATGAAGACCAAAGACCACAGAGTTTTAGGTAAGTTGCACTTCAATGTGAAGAAAATAAAAATCCTCACACATATCATCCATATTAATGGTGAAAAGACTGAAGTTGTCAAAGACTTCATTTTGCTGTGATCAACCATCAACACTCATGGAAGTGGCCATCAATAAATCAAAAGACATATTACATCAGCCAAATCTGCAGCACAAGACCTTTTTAAAGTGTTGAAGAGCAAAGATGTCAGCGTGAGGACTAAGGCGCACCTGATGCAAGCCATGGTATTTTCAATAACCTCATAAGTATATGAAAGCTGGACAGTAAATAAGGAAGACCATAGAAGAACTGATGCATTTGAATTAAGGTGTTGGAGGAGAATATTTAAAATACCAGGGACTGCCCTAAGAACAAACCAATCTGTGTTGAAAGTACAGCAGAATGTTCCCTGGAAGCCAGGGATGGCCAGATTTTGTCTCTCATACATCTGACATATTGTCAGGAGGGACCAGTCTCTGGAGAATATTATGATGTTTGGTACAGTGGCGGGTCAGAGACAAAGAGGAAGACCCCCAACAAGATGGATTGGAACAGTGGCAGCAATAATGGGCTCAAACAAGCAACAATTGTAAGGTTAGCACAGGATCAGGCAGTATTTTGTTCTGTCATGTATAGGGTCCCTATGAGTCAGTACTGACTCGATGGCACCTAACAACAGATTTTAGTTAACATCGTGTTTTTGCAATAGTGAAACTTGTATTCAAAATATAAGTAACTTGAGATTGGCTTTATCAATCTTAAATTTGACAAGTGTCTTGTTGTTTTTAAGTGACTAACCTTGTATAGGGTTTCCGAGGAGCAATTGGTGAGCTTGAACCAGCAATCTTGCAATTCAAGCAACTTTGTAGTCCTGTGCATTAACCCACAGCCCCATACCAGGACTCCACAAGCATCTTATATATGCATATTTAATCAAAGCCCAGAACTTTTTACTGAATTGTTAAAATTCTTTATGTGCAGTATTGGAGAGTGAACATTAAATATGTTTTCACAGTAGAGTTTGAGTGACAATTGTCTCATCCATGGGTTATTAAAGCTGCGTTTCTGTTTTGTTTTGGGATAAAAAAGTGACTAATATCATAAGTTAAAAGGTTCTGGGTTTATCTCGTATTGTAAAATTACTTTTATTTATGTAGGTTTAATTCATCTGTCTACTCAAGTACTTAGCTCAGCACAAGTTAAGCTTTATATAACTGGATAATGCTGCCGTGACAACAAAACATTAAGGTTCTGAAGTTGTGCCTCGTTATAAAAAATTCATTTAGAATTGGCTAAAACCCCAAAGTTTCCAAGTTCATGTACATATTAAAAGTTTACCATTAATTCTATGTTAGAATATTATTTTAAGGTCATATTTATCTCGAAAGGCTGGTGGTTGTTCTAAGCTATGAAAATTTCATCAAATTGTACATACACACATACAATGAAATGGTATGCAACACTGAAGACTAATGATAAATCTGTGAAACACTTCATACCATGGATGAACCTGGAGGACATCATGCTGAGTGAAATTAGTTAATCACAAAAAGACAAGCATTGTATGAGACCACTATAGTAAAAACTGAAGAAAAGGTTTTCATGATAAAAGAAACACTCTTTGATGGCTACCAGAGGTGGGATGGGAGGGAAGGGAGAGTAATTCACGGGCTAGACGGCTGTTGTTGTTAAGTGCCATTTAGTTGGCTCTGGCTCACAATGACCCTGTATAGGGTTTCCGATAAGCGGCTAGTGAGCTTGAACCACCGACCTTGGAGTTCAAACCGACTTTACAGTCCAGTGCATTAACCCACAGCGCCATACCAAGACTAGAGGGTAGACATGTATTAAGGTGGGTGGCGGGGAAGGAGATTGGCAGAAGAATGAAGACAGGTGAAGACATAGTAGTGTTAAAGTGAAAGGGGATAGAGGTAAATACTGTTAGATACATAATCCTGCAATAACAGAGTAGATACATCGACAGATACACAGGATGAACACGTATGGGAGGGAAAATGGGAATATACCCACAAATATGTTAAGAATTTGACTGAGGATATTTGTACATGAGTATTTACCTTTACTGAAAACACATCTATGAATGTGGCAGAGCATGTATGGACAAAATGATGAAAACTTCTTTGAAAATATCAAAAACCTTGAGGAAATGAATTGCTGGGCCTGGGGTCTCAGAATCATAGTCTTGGGGGACATAACATAGTCTACAATGACAATGTTCTATATCCTACTTTGGTGTGTAGTGACCTGGATCTTAAAAGCTCATGAGTAGCCATTTAAGGTGTAACTACTGAGTCTCCCCGTGTGTGGAGGAAAGAAGAATGATGAAATGCTGGAATGAATGAGTCCAATGGAACATCATGTGAACATCAGTCTCCATGAGTCTGGCACCAGATGTATTAGATGGTGCCTGGATACCACTACCAACTGGCCTGAAAGGGATCACATTAGAAGGGACCAGGTGGAACAAAACTCAAAATTACTGGTCAAAGACTGGAGGAACCCTGGTCTATGACCCTCATTTACTCTTCATGTCTAGAATGGAACTCATCCTCATTTTTATCCAAACGGTAGATAGGTACACAGAAGGGGCAACAATACTAGTGAGATATGCTCCCCATGGAATGGTCAATTATTCAAGATCACATGAGCAATTCTTTCCTTCAGGGCCAGTTCAGAGGAGTTGGGAGGGAGGATGGAATGGACAGAGGAACCACAGGAAGAAAGTGGGACAACTACTGTTGTTACATGGAGGGGACAGCAATCATTGAGATGAAACAAATGTGCAAATTGTTGGATGTAAAACTGATGATCTGTCTGTAATCCTTCACTGAATTCACAATAAAAAGCTATAAAAAAAGTATATATATTACCAAGTTTAAAACTTTAATTTTGTTAAAATGTACAAATAGAAATAATACAACAGTTCACATATTCTCTGCCTTCTAAACATTTACCCATCGATGGTTTCAATAGCTGTTGTTGGTCCTTTATGGTTCAGGAATAGTTCAGATGCCTGATATTCTGTGAAAGCCTAACAACTCCCTTCTTTTTACCTACCAAATTCATTTCCCTTTTCAGAAGTCTTGTCGAATGTTTTCTTTGTTTGCCTCGCCATGTTGCTGCTTAATTTGATAGATTTCATTTTCTAGTTGTACAATAGTCCGTTCAATCTCATAATTCTTACTAACCAGGGATACCCAACTAGAACAGAGAAAAAAAGGGAAAAATTATTCAACGTAAAAAAATTTTTTTGTAAGATTTTATGGTATACACATTTTCACCCAGTATCATAACACAAACCTTCATTTTTAACTTTCCATTAGAAAAATTAAAGCATAATTGAGGGAAATGAGTAAAGGGCATATCATATCACTTCAGATTTATTTCTTCTACCTTCCATGTGAAATTACAATTATCTCAAAAAAAAAAAAAAAAAAAAAAAGGGAAGCTGCAAGGCATAGCAATGGGTCTTTTTTCACCTGAAGCAACAGAGGAAGGAAACTTAGAACAGGAGGATATTAAATATGTGGCTAATTACCTCATGAACAATTGCCTCTTTAGCCATGAGACCTGAAGAGGTAGGTGATGGATGGTGCCCATGCCTAGCTACCACTACTGAACATCTTGATCAAAGATTCTATAGAAGAATCCTGATCATAAGGGGAGAAACGCAGAACAGAATTGCAAATTCTCATGAAATACAGACTTTCTGGTGAGATAATCTACAAAACTTAAATCAAAAATATTCCTTGGAGTCTTCTCAAAATGAAACAATGGTTTAGCATGGTTTAACTGATACAAAATGGTAGCCTTGGGCATTATGGTCATTTAAGAACTATCTGTACAGAATCAATGTGGACAGTAACTCCAAAGATTAGATAGGAATGTTAGAGCATCGGGGGTGGGGTGGGGGTGGGAAATGGTCACACAACTCGAAGATTAAAAAAAGTAGGCGAAATATAAAGAAACGCACATGTACACACAACTATATTATATGTAACATTCACTTTAAAACAAACAAACATGGAAGGATACGTTGATAATATGGGGAGCATGGGACTATAAGTGAAGGTCAGGGAAGGACAGAGCAAGGAAAATGACATGGGTGATGAAGAACAAAAGGACAGAGATATATACAGCAAAGCAAAAAGGAAAGAAAAACAAATTCATTGATATACAGGCATTTAAGGATCCCTGAAGGCAACAGTTAAGTGCTCAGCTGCTAATAAAAAGGTTGGCAGTTCAAACCCACTCAGGGGTCCACTGGAAAAAGACCTGGCAGTCTGCTCCCATAAAAACTGCTGTTGTGAAGCACTGTCGAATCAGTTCCAATTCATTAGGAACCTTGTATAGGGTTTCCAAGGAGCAGTTAGTGAGCTTGAACCACCAACTTTACAGTTCAAATCTACCTTGGAGTCCATCACATTAACCCACCACACCACACCAGGACTCCTTTTATAAAAACAACAGACTAGAAAACCCTATGAGGGCATGTCTACTGTTTCATAGGGTCACTAGGAATTGAAATGGACTCGAGGGCACCTAATAACATGTAGGGATCTGTATAAACTATTATTTTGTTGTTGTTAAGTGCTGTTGAGTCAATTCCGACACATAGCGACCCTGTATAGGGTTTCCAAGGAGCATTAGCCGACCTTGCAGTTCAAATGGCTTTGCAGTCTGATGCATTAACCAACAGTGCCACACCAAGACTCTATAAACTAATACAGAGAATATTTTAAAAATAGAACATATAAACACAAACCAAATAAACAAGAAGGTATGAAAGATATAAGAAAAAGACAGTTAATTTGTTTTCTTCCTTTAAAAGGAGACTATAGGTAGAATCCCATTTAGAAAATAGGTGGAAAACAATGTTCTCTAAAACCAGGATCATGTAGTGGTAGTTCAAGTCTTATTTACTGAATCTTGACGTTAAAAATGTGCTAAGCAATGGACACAAGAAACACAGAGAGGAAGTGGGATTAAGTGATGTTACACTGAGAGGACTGCAATAGAGATAAACAAAGTGCATGATTTGGTGAGCGTGTTGTTGTGAAGTGCTGTCAAGTCAATTCCGACCCACAGCGACCCTGTATAGGGTTTCTGAGAAGCAAATAAATGCTGAGCTTGAACTGCCAACCCTGCAGTTCAAACGGCTTTGCAGTCTGGTGCATTAACCCACAGTGCCACACCAGGACTCCTTGGTGAGTGTAAAACTCTGAAAACCTTGACTCAGTTCACAATAAAATGTTAAAAAAATTGCTAAGTAATTAAAAAGACAATGGAATTTGAGACACTTACGTAGACTCCATTTCTCTCAATTTAGACCCAGCTGTCAGTTGCATGTTCTTTCGTTGCCAGTTTAAATCTTGAATGTGTTTCCTGTAAGAAATTATTTGTAGAATCTAATTACACTTCAAACAAAAATTAAGTCAATATAAGATAATATCTTTAAGTTCTTGAGAAGAACAGGTATATGTATATATTGACACACACATACACTTATTATATATTTGTAAACCACTGCTAGGAATTAGCTTCCTTCTAGTTATTTTTCAATTACATATTTCATGCTCACACACATATATTAAAATCAAGAGCCCCTCTTCCTGAGCTGTTTTCTTCCCCAGTAACCAACCATTATTCAGTCTGCTGGTTACTCTGTAAGATAAGCACTGGACCACAAGTTCTATCTGAACCACTAGGTTGGTGATTCAAATCCACCAGCTGCTCCTCGGAAATTCTATACATGGTCACTATGAGTCAGAAGGACTCAACGGCACTTTAATTATTATTATAGAAGGAGCTCTGGTAGCATAGTGGTTATGAATTGGGCTGCTAACCTCAAGGTCAGCAGTTCAAAACTACCAGCTGTTGGCTGGAGAAAGAAGCTTTCTGCTCTCGTAAAGATTTACTGCCTTGGAAACCCTGTACAGGATCACTATGAGTCAGAACCGACTCCACGGCACACCATCCTAATCAGACAAGACAAGGAGCCCTGGTAGCGTATTGAGTTACATGTTGGGCTGCTAACCACAAAGTCAGCAGTTCAAATCCACCAGCCATTCCATGGGAGAAAGATGAGACTTACAGCCTCAGAAACCCTATACAGTAGGAGTAGGGAATGTCTGGCCCTCGGGTTGTATAACGCCCTCAAAATCATTTGGTCTGGCCCTACCAAGGCAAATATAGTTCCAGCATCACATTGTTGTTGATGCTAAGTGCTGTCAAGTAGGTTCTGACTCACAGCAACCCTGTAAAGGGTTTCTGAGGACCAACTGGTGAGTTTGAACTGCCGACCTTGAGGTCCAGTGCATTATTCTGCAGCACCATACCAAGACCCCAGCCATCATATTGGTGGTGATGGTGCTGGTGGTGGTTATGTGCTGTGGAGTCAGTTCGACTCATAGTGACCCTGCATAGGCTGTAAATCTTTATGGAAGCAGAAAGCCCGAGCAGTGGCTGATAGTCTTGAACTGCTGACCCTGAGGTAGCAGCCTGACTCATAACCACTAAGCTACCAGAGCTCCTTAGCCATCACATTAGGGATGAGTTAATGAAATGTTTATTTATTTATTGTTGTTAAGTGAAGCTGAGTCAGTTCTGACCCATATGTTATGTGTCATCGAGTCGGTTCCGACCCATAGCGACCCTGTATAGGGTTTCCGAGGGTGTAAATCTTTACGGGAGTAGAAAGCCTCATCTTTCTCCCGCGGT